ATAATAATAATAATAATAATAATAATAATAATAATAATAATAATAATAATTTAAACATTGTTTGTGTTTCCAGTTTATAGTCCATTGTATGTTGATACAATATATACAAAAAATGAATGGTGAATTATAATAATGAACCTCTATGGTAGAGCATGTTCAGTCAGACAGCTTGTTTTAAACTACTGTAGCAATTACCAAAGAATATTCGCAGATGCATAGGCGCTATTTCGACGCTATAAATATTATGTCTGTGTTGATGTTATGAATAATATTATGATGTTTGACTGACATCAATAGCTAATCTGTTATGGTAATACCTACCGGTATGTTGGCACTGAGCTAGTATACTTGAGTGCTTGACTGAAATTCTTATATATTTACGTACAGTATGACTAAAATTAGAACAAATGGAAATCACCAATGAATACAATACAATTAGTTTGGTACACTATGTAAGAATAGTTGTTATTGAGATAACCTCAAACAGGTTTATCTAAAAAACCATATCCTTGCACATGGTGTACAGAAAGTTAAATTATTTTATTATTGATAACTCACCAGGCAAACCAAACATTAAAGAAATATATCCTGGCCAATAAGCAACTATATAATAAAAATATACTTTTTTACATATATGGCTAATTCTAATTTTTGTGATGTTATTTCGTAGTTAAAAATAACTTTTTTTGTTGTTTTTTAAACTTTCAATTGCTTTATTAGTATTCTCAAGCAGCGTATTTTTATTATTATTATTATTATTATTATTCATTTCATAATTATACATACATACATGAATATAAATTTACAACGACAACACTAACAAAATGGCAAAAATCATAAAACGATTACAGTACAGAAAAAGCATTTTTCTTTAGGCCTATAGGTACAAAAAATATGTTTTACTTGAAACTTGGCGAAAGAAAAGTAGAGAAAAAAAAAACAACACCATTCCCTGTACAAGCCATAAAATGATAATTATATTTGTATAATTTTTTAATTTTCAATTTTAATATATTTCATCTCTCTTCAAATTTCTCTTCTTGCTGTTCCCAAACGCATAGCAAAATCTTAATTCTTTGGACCAAATAAATTAAATGAAATTCAAATTATTCATAACGGTGAAATGTGGAAATATACGTTATAATATTAAAATATGTTTAAAATGTACAGGCAAAGCCCATTTAGATGAAAAGCAATTAAATATTTACAAATACAGGTTTCCCTCTAGTTAAAGACCACCTCCAATTAAAGACCACTTTCCTTGTGGTCCCAAATTAACAAATGTCTTTTCTTCATTATAATAAGAGACCAAAGTTTCTAGAAAAAGCGGTCTTTAATTGGAAGTAGACTGTTTGATATTATACTACGACAGGCCCAGGGGCAGATTTAGGGGGGGGGGCCGGCCCGGCCCCGGCCCCCCCTTTTGGGAGGTAAAAAAAGAAAAAAAAAGAAAAAAAAGAGAGAAAAAGGAAAAAATGATGGCCAAGAATGCCTCAAATGTTATGTTCGGAAAATTTCGCGGGGGCATGCCCCCGGACCCCCTATGACAGTGTTGTCTCAATCGGCCCAACTTTCGGCCCCCCCTTTTGGACAGTTCTGGATCCGCCCCTGAGGCCTGAAATTCAAAGTCAAATTCAAAGTCATCTATTATAATATTATGCCTTGACATAGTATTTACAATACGGGTACTTTATGTGACGTAAGCACTCTTCGACGTCATATTCCTGCTGTACATAACTTAATACCCCACCTAAAAGTTCATTTTAAATAACGTAACTATATAAAATGCAGTAAAATAATAATGGATTGGATAATTTATCGATAATTGCATAGAATAATTATGAGCGTGTGTGAAATTTTGATTATAGAAATCAATAACATACGTAATGTTATTGATTTTATTAAAGACCACCTCCAATTAAAGGCCACTTTCCTTGTGGTTCCAAATTAACAAATGCCTTTTATCTTCATTATTCTAATAAGTTTCTAGAAACTTGAAAACCCAGGTCCTAAAAGCGGTCTTTAATTGGAAGTAGACGCTGATATTATACTACGACAGGCCTGAAAGTCAAATTCAAAGTCATCTATAATAATATTATGCCTTGACATAGTATTTACAATACGGGTACTTTATGTGACGTAAGCACTCTTCGACGTCATATTCATGCTGTACATAAATTAATACCTCCTTGATTAATCCAATATTAACAGCAGATAATTGCAACCTTAACTGTTCATCCAGAAACATATAATGGTGTTTCCTAAAGTACTTTAAACAAAATTACCTAATATATCTAATCATCTAGAAATCCCTTTGGGTGTTTGGTTGGCTAATACACAATCAGACACCGCAAATGGCCACTCACCTAAAAGTTCATTTTAAATAACGTAGCTATATAAAATGCAGTAAAGTAATAATGGATTGAATAATCTATCGATAATTGCGTAGAATAATTATGAGCGTGTGTGAAATTGTGAATATATATAGAAATCAATAGCATACGTAATGTTATTGATTTTATTAGGAGCATGGATTTAAATAGGCCTATATAGTACTACTGTATTTTAGACATCTGGTACTATAGAGGAATTTTACCCGTAGGCGTAAATGTGAATATTTATTTATCTGTGTCAAAATACATTGCAATTGAACTATTTGTTGAGATATATTTCCTCCAATCGAATAATGAAACAGTATAGGCCTATACATTTCATTTAAATTTATTTGATTTAATACCGGTCTATCCGTATACACAGTATAGACTCGATACATTGGACTGCATCATTAATATGGTATGTTTAGATATATACTGAAAAATTATGTATATAATTATATATATATATATAAATATATATATATGTGTGTGTGTATTATATATATATATATATATATATATATATATATATATTCATATAGGCCTATGAATGAATATTATTGTTACACACACTGCAAAAATAGAATATCATTGACGAAAATAATAAGCAAAGTACCAGGAATTTCAAATAGGCTTTTAATCTGTGGTTCAACCTGTCGAGAGGTTTTCTCATGGTTGGTCCCGTGATTCTATGACGTCGATGTTAAACGTAAGTATACCCACAAATAACACGGTAATGTGATGCGAGCGTAGTGGTGCACGTGATAGTGTACGAATCAATGCATGTGATAATGGCACCGTCGTCGTGTCGTCATCTCTTCATCATCATTACCATTATCGTCATTATTTATCAGTACAAATTTATTATTATTATTATTATTATTATTATTATTATTATTATTATTATTATTATTATTATTATTATTATTATTATTATTATTATTATTATTATTATTATTATTCATTTTCTTTCTTCACGATATAATAATAAACTATATTGTTAAAAACTACTATACCGTAAATTAATTAATACAATTTATACAAAAATATATATATATATATATATTATATAAATGTGTATATTAAATACTAAAGTCCTATGTGTGTACTCTAACAAATGGCAAATTAAAACAACATACCATTTACGCACATTTGCAATGTCAAAGTAATTACATAAATATTTCTCCTTTGAAAAACAGTGTCTTGCTCATGTAGATCCTTTATGGTTGTTTTTATTTCATTATGCAGTTTTACTGCGTCTGGACCGTAACATTTTTACTGTAATTCCTTAGGCCTATACTTGTTTTTGATTTGTGTGTGTGTTTATATTAATGGTAGTGATGACTGATTTATTATTGATTTCACTTGTAAATACAATGTATTTTGCAATTAGCGATTTTACTTCTGGATGACGGTTGAATTAGTTTTTCACTGTTATAATTATTTTATTATATATCACTATTTAAATTTCATTATCATATTGTAGTAATATTATTATTAGTTTTTTTTTTGTTTATTCAAAGAATTTAATCTTATAATTTTTTTTAATTGTTGTCATAAATCTCTTTTATCATTGTTTAGTGTGTAATAAGTCATAACACAATTTTAGATCAGATATAGGCTTTATACTACTTGTTTACTTGTTTCCCAAGAGAGTCTTCTACAGTCTGATCCTCCTGGGTATTATAGAGGCCAAGCAAAACGATGCTTATAGGCCCCTCGAAAAAAAACCCAGTATATTTAAATTTTAACATATGGGGCGCGAATTTGAGCGGATGGTCAGCCAAACGTACTTCGATTGCAGATTTAAATAAATTAATAGAACTAGAGTTAACGTCTTCATTCGATAAGGAATTCCACAGCCGAACTGACCTAAATGAAAAAGCACGACTTCTAATATAAGTGTCCTACAGTGCTGATGTTTAATCTTAAAGGAGTGACCTATATTGTATCTTTATGTTAGAAAAAAAATGCTCTTACCGGCTGAGTACAGTAATATTAAAATTGTGCTTGATCTGTCCGTTAACAAAATATGTTGTATTGTATTATTGTAAATGTGATTTGGTCAAATAAATGAATGAAATGAAATAAAATGTTTTTGGTTATACATCTACCGTACCAAAGATCCATGGCAATTGCCTTGGTTTGGTTTTTAGAGGGAGAGAGAGAGAGAGGAGGGCGCTGTATAAGTTTGTCCCCGTCGGCGATTGACTTGCTCGCGACTGCTCTTCAATAATGCTGAATACAGGGTAGGCTACTTTTGAAAAACAAATCCGAATATATTATGATTGCTTTTTGTTAGGATAACTTTAGCAGGGGTATGGTGCAATGTTGCTCTGGGTGGGCTGTGATCTGGCCGGCCGGTTTCATGGTCTTCTTTCCTACTGCTACTGCTCTACTATACTACTACCTAGTACTATGGCTAGGCCTAGGCCTACCCGCACACAATTTGAAATTGGGTTCGTAGCCTAGGCCTAGGTCTGTCCAACTCTCCATCCAAAATTATTACGTCAGGCTAGCCTATCACTGTTATTAATACCTCGGATTGATGTCAGTCTGTACAGTATTATAAATCGTTCTTCATGTTCATCCTTCGATTTTTTAGAGGCCTAAAATAAAGGGCTAGGCCTAGGCTAAGCAAGGCCTATATGATAGTACTAGTAGGCCTAGGCCTAATGATTTTTTTGGCTTTCTGTATGTAGAATTAGGTAGTGTTTTATGTTATTCAATCGAATTTGATCCAACTTGGCCACAAGTCAACTCAGCCACAGTCAACTTGGCCACAAATCAACTTGGCCACAAGTCATTTACTGGTACCACACTTACAGTAGGAGTAATTCATCAAGTATAAAATACTAATTCTTTAATTATTACTATACTTAGTGTTATTATTATTGCTGTTATTATTAGTTGTTTTTATTACCGTTAGTTTTAATATTAATTATTAGTCTTAGCATTAACATTATGTATTGTTGTTGTTGTCACCTTTATTATCCTATTATTACTAAGTAGGCCTAGTATTATAAGTATCATTATTATTACTAATTAGTATTACTATTATTATAAAAATAAACATTATCTTTAATTTATTATTGCTGTTATTATTGCTATTATCACCTTCAATATCGTTATTATCACTAATTAGTATTATCAAAATTGATATTTAAATATCGTTATTAATACCATATTAGTATTATTACTATTGAGTATTGTTAAAATAAATATTACTATTAATATTGTTGTTCTTATTACCTTTATTATTGTTATTATGACTAATTAGTATTAATAAAGTAAATATTTGAAAAGGAAGTGTCACCGGTGATTCACATCATTGGATGCATCCTTATCACTGACGGGTTTCAAACATAGCGCCCAATGGTCGAACAAATATGAAGTACTGAAGCGATTATTCACTCAACAATACCAATTGTTCCTATTGTGGATAATTGATTAACTTAGGCCTAATTCTTGGGCGTGGTTCTAAAGAAAATAGTATCGAAATGCACCCATCGTGCATTCATTTGATTTTAGTCGGATTCAAAATAAATTTTTAACAATTAAAAAATCATAATGTGGTTTTTCTATTTCATTTTTTTATGATTAGGTTTAGTGTATGTACTCATGTTTTATGTCAGTGTATTAACGTGGAAGAAGAGACTTGGAGACTTGGGGTTGGAAAGTCTGCCTACGGCCTAAAGTAGAAAAATTGAACCTTATCACACAATGAAAAATCCCAAGTCCTAAATATGGTTATAAAGATGCATGGATACAAATCTATAATTTTCACAAAAACACAACCCTCATTGCTAGTAATTGTTAAATATACCAGCGACAACAAAAGCAATATAACGTTTATGCATGCTTCAGTGAAAAAACTTGATGTGCTGGTGCCAACCTAATAAACTATTTAATTAAAAAAAAAGTAGATACAACCATTTGAGTGTCTATTTGGGTGTATGTAAAATTATGTACTGTAATTTAATTGCTCATTCTAGGATAAATGTTATATAATATGATTATTTTTAAACAACTAATTAAGTAGTATTACTTATAATATTGTTATATTATATTCTATAAATTTATTTTATTACTGTACAATACCATCGGATTTATTATTACCAGTATGTAGGTAGACGGGTAGACCTACCTTGTGCTTGAGATTATTAATATCATTTTCATCATTGGTAGTAATACATAAAATTGGGTGTGAAGTAGTGGGGCTGTTATGCAAGGCTCTACAGCTTTTTAAAAAATTTACAGACAGAAACCTAGTAGTATCCAGTATACAAACAAATGCAACCTGTGATCTGTATACTGGTTACTGATAAGAAATCTCCAGAATCTCCCAGGTATCTTAAGGTTAAAGTTCAAATTAGCCATTCGTTGCTCATTTAGAGGTGTTAGGTAGACCAAGTGGCGGACTAGAGCCATAGGAGTGAAAACAGCACATTTTTAGCATCATGTCTGACCTAAGGGAAAGGCAAGTCAAGTCATCCATGTTTTGCAAATGCTTGTATATTAATATAAATGTTCAGTATTCGAAGTACAGTGCACTGATCTGGAAAGCCTTAGGGCCTACATGTGTGAGCCGTGTGTCATGGCATTGCCAATGAACATTTTGATATGACCAGCTTAGACTTTATTGCCTTGTCAATCATTGTTTTCCACATGATGTAAAGTTTGTAAGTGTATAGTGCTGCCCAACTACACACGTGCAGGATGTGTGAGGAATCAGTTGCTTTAATAGGATTTGAATTCCCAACAAAGCCTCAGTGGCCAAGTTGGTTAAGGCATCCACATAGACTACAGCAGTCCTGGGTTTCAATCCTGGTTGAGGCAACTTTTTTCACACTCGCAGATGAAAAATGAAAAATGAAAAATGTAATCATAGCCTTACCGCAAGACAGTTTAGAGTATACAGTATCTCGTAATAAATCATGGTTTATATAATATGTAGCTCTGTAAACCATCTAATGATATTCTTATTTTTTTCCTTTTTGTATGAATCTAGGAAACTAGCTGGTAGGACTCTGTTTATTACTGGTGCCAGTAGGGGTATTGGTAAGGCCATCGCATTGAAGGCAGCTAAAGATGGTGCCAACATCGTTATAGCTGCCAAGACGGCCCAGGCGCATCCTAAATTACCTGGGACCATTTACACAGCAGCAGAAGAAAGTGAGTGAATTTTAGATAAAACAGTGGTGGGATAATTCTCTTTAAGGTAGTATAATATATATTCCAAGTATTGAAATGCAATATTTTGACATTAATTATGTCGAAATATTGAATCCTGACACGATAGCATGCATTTCGATACAATCTGAGATTAATCAGTGGACCTTTCCGATAATTTTCTTTATTCTCTCGAACTGCAACACCGCTACCAACAGTAATATTGATAAAAGGTAGCTCCTCGAGATAAGCTCACTCCTATACTGTACATCTATATATAATGGTATTTTATTCAAAATTAAAAAAAAAAAAAAAAAAAAAAAAAAAAAAAAAAAAAAAATTATAAAAGGATAAAATATGGCAGCCAAAAATGCTGAATTACGAATTATGTTTAACATCAATAAAAAAGCAAGAAACACATTAAATATAATAGGAAATTTACATTAAAACTTAAAATACTTCCTCAGAAAAAAGCCAAGCTTTGAATTGGGCATGTAGTGTTGTCTTTTGATTGGCCATCCCTATAAGTCTTTTATGAATAGGGAATTTCCAGGTATAAGCCCTCCCCCCACCCCCCAAAAAAAAAAAATAAATAAACAGTTTGAGGGAGTCAGCTTACACACTAGGAACTTTGTTAATAGTAATAACCACATGTAGAATGCAGAAAGAAAACAAGATGACTTTCATAGATGACTACCAGTAACAGTACCAGAACCACCTTGTTAATCCACCTCCCATATGGTGGTTTTAATTCTTCATATGCACAACTATTTTCGCAATATAGTATCACAACGTATGGCACAAGATTTAAATATTTCACTCTATGCATATTTTGTCGAATTGTTCAATCTTACGGTCATTCTCACAGATTTCCTCCAGCCTCGACGTCAAACTTCTATCTCGCTTAGGATTCGTTAGGAATCACCGAAAATCTGCCTTCTTACCACTTTCTTGTAGAACCGAATGTATCAAATCTTCGTTTCTCCCATATGCACTTAAGCTTTGCTCATCTCTAAATCTCGATCCATCTTCTGCAAAGCTGTCGAAGAGACCGTAAAAACATTTGGTGGAATTGATATTGTAGTTAACAATGCAAGCGCCATTAGTCTCACCGGCACGCAGGAAACATCGATGAAAAAATATGATCTAATGCACCATGTTAATACAAGAGGAACATATCTCACGTAAGTGTCGGAAAAGTAGGTGCAAATTGATGATGTGCGGCTGTTGCATCAATTGGTTTATTATGTACTGTGTATTTATATATGGTAATCCTCTGTGACATGCCTTGACCACAAACTTGATGGTAACAGTTTAAATGAGCTAGGGAAACAAAATACCAATTACAAATTTGTTTATTTTCTCCCTCTAGCTCAAAGCTTTGCCTCCCTTACCTGAAAAACAGCAAGAATGCACACATCTTAAACATTAGCCCACCTTTGAACATGCATAAAAAGTGGTTCAAGAACCATGTTGGTAAGTCCACTTATTACTTACTTACTCCAGATCCACTGGTGAATGTCATTTATTTCATTAATTGTCAGTGGGGTATGTAGGGGATACCCTACTGATTACCCTCCAGATTCTTCCAAAATTCATCGTTAGCTTATTTTGAGCCCATAGATATTGTCGCTTAAAAAGGTGCCCCCTCCCCCCACCTGAACGGTCGGGGAGAAATTAAATTTGTTGGGGAATTTTTATATTTATAAAATGTTTCATTAATTATGGGATTCTTTATTTTAAAAGGATAATTTGCAAGTGCAAGTTAAGAGTCCCCCTGCCGGGGAAGAGCTGGTGATAGTATACAGCACTGCTTAGTAAGGCATGCTTGAATTGTACTTTTGGCGCTCAAGATTTTATGTTTTCCCAACGACCTTGGTGTAAATTCCCTGGCAGGGGTATCCAAGCAGGGGTCCTTTGCTCTCCTGGACCCCCTGATATCGCACAGTGTACAATACTTCCAGCAAAGAAAGGCAAATGCTGATGAGCTTAGTAACTGGAAGCACCTTGTCTGTAAAGTCAACAAATGTTATTTATTATCGATAACAATGACTGAAGAGATGGTTATACTGTATTGCCAAAGTGATTGTTGTACAGTAATTAAATTAATATGCATATTTTCTTTGTCGCAGCATACACAATGGCAAAATATGGAATGTCAATGTGTGTACTAGGAATGGCAGATGAGTTGCAAGATGACAATATTGCTGTGAATGCTCTGTGGCCCAGAACAGGTGTGTGCAGGCATTTTCTGTGAAGCACAAAAATACAATGTAGAATTACAAAGAACTGTAATTTAAATTAAAAATATCAAAAATAATCTTTTTAATCATTTTTCTATTCTAAATATAAATCCAATCCTATGCCTATCTAAAAGTAAAGTATATCTCTGATATTAATAATATCAATAGTGAGTAAAGCTGTATTCACACCAATCAGAAGATGAAGGCCGACTCAGACGTCATACGACACAGCCCATCGTGAGAAATATTAAACATTTTTAACATTGTACCACAAGACATCGTTGGGGGCAGTCTTAAGCCGTTGTGAGAAATATTAAACGACCAGACTGTCTCTGTGTAGGTTGCGTCGTACGATGCTGTCTGAGTTGGCCTTAAGAGGGACGCTGGTATTCAGCACATTGGAAGTACGGTCAAAATTTCTGTCCGTATCCGATGCGAATGCAGCTTTACATGGAGTAATAAATATTATACATTTCTACATATGATTATCTTTATCTAGCAATATGGACAGCTGCAATGGACATGCTTGGAGGTGGGACAGGAGAGACCCGGAAACAGTGCCGGAAAGTGGACATCATGGCAGACGCGGCATATGTGATCCTGACTAAGGATAGCAAGTCTTACACTGGCAACTTTGCTATCGATGATGAGGTCCTGAGATCGGTAGGAGAAACAGACATTGATAAATATGCATGTGAACCAGGTGAGTTATTTACATTTTCATCGGCAGTCCAATGTCCCCAATGAGAGAGTAAGTGGTTATGGTGGTCCATGGGGTGAAGTCCTGGAAAAATCTGAAATTTTAAGAGTTTGAAAGGCTTATTTAATTGATTTTAAAATCTACAAATTTGTAAAAAAATACATATATTTGATTTACCTCCTGAGGGAATAAGTTCCCCAATAGGGACCCTGGCTGGCACCACCCTATATTCAATAGAGGGATTCGTCACATAAAGTTTGTGTAGTGAATTTTGTGACATCAACAATTGACTTGGAGTAACTTAAATTATAGCAGTTATGAAGATCTTTACAGCAATAACATGGGACAGCTGCCATAGCAATCTCCGCTATGCCAGTTCATTGTTTACATCCAACAGCCAAAAAGTCAAAAATAAACTGTTTATGCAATGTGTAAGTTGTGTGATTATTCATCCAGATGTTTCTGTTTGTATCACCATATGTAGTACTTTAAAGCCCTTTCCAAACTATCAAAACATGTGACACTGACATGAAAATATATGTGGCAAAGACAAGCCAAACCAGTCATTCGTCGCAAAAATCGATTTTGAGTTATTAATACAGTGTTAGAGAGTAAAATAATAGCTATAAAATGGTAAAAAATCATTCAAATCGGACATTTCCTCACACAGCTGTTTAAAGAACAATATATGAGAAATTCACTGTCAAAGTTTATGATTTCAGGCATTTCTCATGCAGAAAATCTTCAAATCCTTAAAAAAGTATTGTTTTCACATTGAAAATGGATAGAATGATGTGTAGATATATAAAGGTTAGTTCAGTGCAATAAATAGATTTTTAAAATTTGATATTCCAGCATGTTTTGGCCATTTTCTCTGAAACACGATTTGCGACGAGTGACTGGTTTGGCTTGTCTTTGCCATATATGGGTACACCATGACCATATATGGATATACAACAGTTTTTTTTGTTTTTTTTTCATTCAAATAGTAAATTTTTCTGGGTATGTTGTCATATATGTATTGTTTTTAACTATAAATTTCTCTTTTTAAGGCCACACTTTGCTTCCTGACTTCTTCCTTGAAGAGGCTGGATCACCAGAGGATATGAAGGAGCAGCTTGAGAAGCATGGCTCACAGCCTGTCTTTGGTTCAGGGCCAGCAGCCAACCCTTCTGAAGCCGAGGCTATACAGATACTTGATTCATTAAAAGGGATGATGTCTGAGGAACATGTGAAGAAGATGGGGGCTTCAATCCAGTTTGAATTGAAAGGCAAGTTAGCAGGGGCAGATCCAGTAGGGGGCACATGCCCCGTTTTGCCACTAAATTAAAAATTTTTTAATGCATATTAATGTATGTGCTACTCACTTATCTATTCTGAAACTTTTATTTCTCTGTCAACTGCAGATGTAGATCAAAGTATGTGGTTCTTAGATATGCGTACCGGTTCCGGTGCTGTTGGTAAGGGCGAGGTGGAAGGCGGTGCAGATGTGAAGATGACGATGAAGGCGGATGATTTTGTCAAGATGTTCAAAGGTTCTTTGAAACCCACAACCGCTTTCATGATGGGCAAGTTAAAGATCAAAGGGGACATGGGCAAGGCTATGAAACTGGAAAAACTGATGGGACAATTGCAATCGAAATTATAGGGGCCAACAGTCAACATTTCTTTTGGTGTACTGTAAAAGCATAGAAACATAAGATACAGTGTGCCTCTGTTAAATTTATCTCAGAATCGTAAGCAAACATTCAGTATTCCGGGAAGTAGGATCAAGGCTTGCTTCAATCCTTTTCTGCAATCCTATAAAACTGATTTGAGTTTAGTGTCAAGGTTATTTTATGAAACTAAAATGAACTATCTGATCATTCAATCAAATTGGTCTAAATAAATTCATAGAGTGCTTTAGAATAGCATTTAATGCAATTATTCACAGTCAGTTATTTATGTGTTCTAAAATTATTTGTACAGAGGTTTGAGAATGAGATCAAAAATAAACTTATGTTTTGAAAAGAGAGACTTTGTTGTGTTATAATTTGCTTTAGTCTTTCCTGATAATTCTATATGAAAAAAAAACTACTGATATATTACAAAATTTAACAGAATAATTAAACTGGTTTATTTGATAATCTTACATCATATCATATACATTGCAATAAAATTTCATTATGGTCTTTGATCACATTCCCTTCAAGGGTCTAAGATAATCAGCTCTACACTTGCAAATGACAAGTGATTTAATGTCTTTACATCAACTTTCTCCCAGTCGATCGATTTCTCTTTGTAAATTGCTTCTTGCCTGGGCTTCATATTTATCACGAAATATTTTAGTTGCATAAATATTTGGAAGTTTTAAGAAGCTCTTCAAAACCTGATGAAGGAAAAAATTAAAAAAACATTTAAATAGTTTCAATGTAGTTCTATAAATAAACATAAAACTTGTATATGTTGAACGACAGCCTGCAGTATTATATAATATTGAACATGCAGAACATATGGGAGAGGTCTGGTTATGAGTGCATTTGTGAAAAAAGAGGCAATTACTCTGTATGTGTTCTATAAATAAATATTAAAATTAACAGCTGGCAGTATGAATGGTTCCTTATTGAACAAGCTGAAATAATACAGTCGGGGGCAGATCCAAAAAGAAAGGGGTGTCCGAGGGTCCTCCCCTGGGAAAATTTTGATTTATCTCATTCTTAGACCAAGACATAGGCAATATACTGTATTATTGTATTCCAACAATATTGAGTAGTTGGATACATAGCCTTTCCTCCATTGATCGATAGACTTGAAGTACGCACTTTCATACATAAATTATTACGACTCATCGAACCAAAAACAGTGTTTGTTAAATTTATTTAATTGAAGGCTAGCGGGGCTAATAGTATAAGCCTAGTTTGTCTGATCTGCCAACCTATGCCTAGGTACAGTAGGTCAGTAATTATTTTCAATGGAACATATATGCTACCTTAGATCTTCTTTCCCTGAATGTTTTTTCTGCCACATGTGTATATTCAGATCGGATCTGATTTGCATATTCATCATACTCGGGGTTCGCCCATCCTAACACCTCCATATCAGCATCAAGGAAATAATACTTGTCCTCATTGGCAAACCTGTGTACCAAAAATAATATTCAAATAAATACCCCGGGGCATTCATTCTTGAGAAGGGTTTTTGAGCGGAAAATGTGGAAAAACATCTGTTATGCATCAAGAGACTACTTTCTTGAAAAAAAGCCCCGCTTTTCCAAAACATGCTTGGTTTATACACTAAGTTTAGGTGATTTAATGCTGGTTAATACACTACATGACACAGTAGGCCCTATTTATTGTTTCATAATAGTAATTTCCAAAATTGACAGCATTCATTTTAAAAAGAGGCCCTCCTTCGCAAAAGTAGCCCCAAAATAAGCCTACTGTAGGGATTCAATCATTGCATTATACGACTTGTTGCAAACCGATAAACTCAAGTTCCCAGCTGCAGATATTATTCTCCTGATAATGGTTGAACCAACTCAATCAGAACTATTTATGTGGTGTACTGCATTACTGTGCCCTAGCTTTTAACAAAAGGTCATACATGTGTCAATATTATTGTCACAATAAGGCAGTGTTCATTTATATTACACAGCAGGGGCTGTTGAGGGCTCACTTTGACCTAACCTCCAATCATGGCTTTAAAATCATGGCATATAAAATGGCCTTATCAATTTTTGGAATGACAGTGTTCTCCAGAAGCCATTTTAGCTGTTAATTTCACCGGTAAAAATAACATGGCCTAAAAATTTAAAAAAATTTTACTGGTAAAAATAAATAAATAGGCTTACTACAGCATGTCTTCTTGTTTTTTTCAAGTCAATAGACCCCACTCTATAGATAAGCATAGAGCTTATCAAGTGCAAATGTCAGTTAAGTGATGTCAGTTCGAGCAGATGCAGTGGCGTAGTGGAGTTTTGACATGGGGGAAAGGAGAGCTTGAGAGTATCATTCACTGTTGGAATTTTGGTAGCTGGGATTCCATTTCCACTTACTGGCACAGACTCGAACTGCCATCAGCATGAAGTGACACTTGATCCGCTCGTATTGTCACGTAACCCCAGCCTGATAAAATACAAACTTGTTAGGTGTCAGGTGAATGTGGGTGATGTGACTTCTGGTCATTAAGATCCAGTTTGAGACGTCAGTGATGTCGCAAGTTGGTGCCTCTGGTAAGCATTCTGCTGCAAATTCTTCAAAAACTTTGGCACTCTCTTCTTCATTCTTGGAGGACTTGGGGTCATATATGATACTGAGGAATTTCAATGGTAATTATAGACAGGTTGTAATTGCCTTTGACATACAATACAAGATAAATAATTATTGTAGAAATACTGCACCGGTAATTCATATGCAGTACAGTAGGCCTACTATTGCACTAATTACCTACTAAATCCATTTTTGTGCCCAAATTGTGTTTATGATGTTATTACTTAATTGACATCTATTTATCAAAAGCGTGTAAAAATGCGAACTACATAGAAATAATAATAATAATAATATAAGATTTGTGGGCTCACTCAAATTCAATTTTAAAGAACAACAATCCAAATACTCTATTTACAGATTGTTGAAGTTCTGAATTGCCTTTTACTTTTTGAACAATAATTTTTTGATGGTGATAATTTAGTGTAGGCCTACTCTCAATTTACAAACGAAAATGATGCTGGCCACTTGACATAATACTATAAACAATAATAATAGAAGGGATTTTTGGCAAAGAAACCTTTAGTATGATATATGATCTCGAAATCACTTGTTTCTCTTTGCAAAATACTAAGTTTGTTGTTATATTATCGTTTTTCCCACACAAATTAAATACCGGTACATGAACAATATTGATGTAACTAATGTTGATTACATTTTGATAGACATATTTAATTAATTTTTGCTGATCGTCATATATCATTTATTTCGCCAATTAAAGGGTCTATATGGCAGGATTGCCAAATTGAAGGGGCCATCGAGGGGCTTTCCAACTATCGTCAAGGATTAAAGAACTGCTTTAAAAATAGTAAATTATTACAGTATATATACAGTAATATAAAATTGTGAAATCATAAAATTTTCTTGTAAATACTACACAGGAGCCCGCTAATTGTATTACACAATATTGTACACAGACAGGGACACGTATCGCGTTGGACACACAATGGCTTCTAAATTCTCAATGTCGCAACCCTATCTATAATAATGGCTCTTGCAAATTATTAAACAAACGAACGAAGAGACGTACGCCTAGCCTGGGGAGAATGATTATATAAAATATTATTTATAGGTGCCAAATGCTCAACCTACTCGTGAAAAAACACACTCCAGTAAACTAAATCAGGTCGCTTGAGATTCGAGGCAACACTGGAGACGGCTTCGTTCATTTTTCGTATATGATGTAATGTATGGTAATGCCTTCGTTCTTCCGAATAGTTGGCTTCTAATACCGACCACCATCTTTCACACAACGTACTCTCAACTGAACACTTGAAACACACATCTTGCCACTGATTTCTGACAGACTCTTGGTCTGTTATTGTATCCATGTTTAAAAAGAAATAAAATGTGACACACCGAAGCTTTTGGAATCGACTTGAAAATTGATGTGTTTACTATAAGCAACGCCCTCTATTGATTGTCACTTGCACCGCCACTAAAAGCAAAGAGTATTAAAACTGCCCCCAGGCAAGGAACCGAAAGGTCCACTAATTAATCTAAAAAAAGAAAGTATAATAGCAAAGATAATAATAGCAGAAGATAGAGCAGCTTCCCAATATATTGGAACATCCATTCAAAAGGCATTGTGGGTACACGGACAGCAAGAAGGCGCTATATAAAAATAATAAAGGCGCTGCTCTTGTTCGTTTGTTTCCTTTAGTTTCTCCACTTAGTAGAATGTTCCATCGATTTTAATGCAAATATGCGGAGCAGCTCATTTGATAATAGGCCCTACATACTCCAAGTATTGTAATTCACGCCATTGTGTTGGGATTCAATATTTCGACATTAATTATGTCATCATCAGGAATGAAAAAATTATCCATATTAGCAAGCTTATATGCACTAGTACCAAAAGTTTTTAACCAATCAAAACATTACCCGGCTAGTAGGTGACATAGCAGTGATTTAAACAACTGCTCAAAGCTACCTACAAAAACAAAGAAAGCTCATTTGAAGTTCTAAGCCCATTGATAAACAAAGGGTGTAGTCTACGTATAGCAAACGCTTCTTTAAACAATAGGATAGACCAGTTTCGGCAGCACTACAGACGACATTACACTTTCAAGTACCGGTATACCCTGTAATCCTAAAACATATTGGAATGCCTCACAACACTATCAGATCGTGAAGAATGTTCTTTAACTTAAGTCTAGTTATTAAGCACCTAGTATCTGTCTTACCAATACTGTGTAATCACTATTACAGCCTATTACAGCCTGGACATTTAAAATGATAAACAACAGAACTTCTGTACTCCTTAGTAGATATAAAATGAGAAACACTTTTATACTGCCATAAAGTTATGAATTTTACCTTATTTAAACATCTACGTAATGAATTCACCTGATTTTCCTAGATAAGGCAATCTAACCTAAATCTCAAGCTATCATCACTAAAGCCTATGATACATTTAGGTTCATTTAATTTCTTAAGTACATTATTAACAACATTTAAAGGGTACCCATTCCAAGACATAAGCTTCAGTTACTAAGCTGTGCTTGTTATCAGGAGTACACAATGGGCTCTAGAAACTCTACGAATCCAGGAGAATGGTTCCATGGAGCAAAGCTTTCATAATGGACATATTGACATGTATGTGTATTTTTACGATATATACTCACGTTTCCTACACTGTTGTTAAATTGTAAATCCAGAAAGTGTACTGTGTCACTGTTTTCAAATGATTCAAAAGTAAAATGTACTGCCTATGAAAAGCATTAAAGTAGCTTAGAATTTGAGGGAAATCATTGGGCTTAGCTAGTACTGTACTAGCGTGTCGTCAACAAAACGAGTATTTCAGTCATTAAAATATTAGCTAAAACTGGACCAAGAGGCACCATCAGTTTGCTTATAAAATTCATTATTACATGTAGTTTTAGGTACAGCAATCTCTAAGTAGTTTCCTTAGCGAATAGGTTAGTAGTAGGTTGTTTACCCTATCAAGTATTATATTAATTACCTTAGTAAGGGGAACATTTGTAAACAGAGATTCAACATCAAAAGATGCAAATCGGTAACCTAAATTATATAAATTGTTTGGTACAGCAGCATCAAAAGAATCTCTAAGGACAAAATCATTAACCGTTAGAGGGCCTAATAAGCTTGATAAGATATAGCAAGTACCGGTCGAGTATGGAACGCCGTTAGTATCTTCGGTTATGTGCAAACACTCTTTTATGTGCAATTGCCATGACGTCATGTGGAATGGTCATGACGTTATGGATTTGGTCATTATGTTATTTCTCATTATGTTATGTAGCATGTAGTTTGCTTGCGGAAGTGTGAAGAAGACGGCTGTACAAGTAAGCCTATATCAAGTATCATAATGAAAAGTTGAGGACGTCAATATTGAATCTACTATTTAAATATGGTTCCAAGTAATTCGTACGACTGCATACCATCCGATGGCAAATGGACTTGTTGAACGATTTCATCGCCATATTGAAAGCTTCTCTCAAGGCATACAGTTATGTGATATATAATGAGTAATTTTCGTCCCACCCCAACCCGCACTAATCCCAATCGTAAACCATTACAACATCCATATGATGGCCCCTTTAAAGTTTTACGAAGAGCTGAAAAAACATTGTTCTTGACATTAATGCAATACACTGTCAGCATTGACCACCTAAAAGTAGCCCATTTAGATAGATACAGTACACACACCCACCTGCGCCCCTTGAGCCTAACAATTCGCCACATTTAACAGCTCCTGCTCTTGTAGAACTAGCCGATCTGGTGACGTGTTCATTTTCCAGCCCGTTTTGTATCGTTCGGTCGTTATCTCATTCACTAGAAGGGGGATCTTGTAGCGTCTCTACTATTTGTATTTAAACCGCAATATTGAATTTGTATAATCTTATATTTCATTTATAAACATATACTCTATATATTATTACTATATTTAGCAAAAGGTCAACTAAGGACAGCAACTTGTTTCTTGTTGTACCAGGAACAGGAATGTACCATGGCTTTTATTAACTAAAACAATGACATATAATCATCCTTAATTCTTATTGGTCAAGTATTACCTCATCTTTTGAATCATCCCAAATAATAGTAAGGAGTATTCCTATTGCTATACACTTCTCACATTGTTGTCATTCGGATTACTACGCAAGTATTTTTCACTGGAAATAAATTACCAGCAGTGCGGTATCCAGAATTGGATTCCAAGGGCTCCGCATGTAAATTTATAATATAACTATAACCCGGATAATCAATAGGGGCCTGATGTTGAGATTTTACCCACAATATTTCTAGTGTATGTAATGTAAACTATACCGGTATTGAGTTCAATCAAACAAATAACAAAACATGCTTCATATTTATTCATCTTTCGTTTGTTTATATATAAACCTTTGACCTTTGAGTGTCGGAGAAAACCCACGACAGAGCAGTCATGTTCAACACTTCCCCATCAATTATTCTTCATAGTACAGTATAACATTTAAGTACATTATTGTATACAGTACTAGGTCTATACTAACAATCTTCATTTATGTAATGTAAAATATATTGGGTTCAATCAAACAAAATATGGTTCATATTTATTATCTTTCGTTAATTTAAATATAAACCTTAAATATAAAACCCAAGGACTCTTGAGAAAACCCACGACAGTGCGATAAAAAATTTAAACGTTCATGTTCAACACTGCCCCATCAATTATTCTCATATTAGAGTATAACATTTAAATACATGTATTGTATACAGTACTAGGTCTATATGCATTTGTCAAATTTTAATTATATTGTCATTAAATCTAGTGTATGTAATGTAAAATATAGTTCACAAAACATGGTTGTTCATATTTATTCATCTTTCGTAGTACAGTATAACATTTAAGTACATTTGAAGTATTGTACAGGTATGCAGTACTAAGTCTATATGCATTTGTCACATATTTCCATCTCCTTTATTAACAATTTCCATTAATATGGTCATAAACTCTAGTGTATGTAAGGTAAAATATATTGAGTTCAATCAAACAAATCACAAAACATGGTTTATATTTATTCATCTTTTGTTTGTTTATAATTTAAATATAAACCTTTGACCTTTGAGTGTGGGAGGAAACCGAAGGACTCGGAAAAAACCCACGACAGTGCGATAAAACAATTACATTTGAAGTATTGTACACTCCTACTGCACGTGATACAAAAAATATACAAATGTCAAAGTATATCAGTGACATCGGTATTTTATTGAAAACGTATGGTGTTGATATGATAGTATAATACATACGGTATTCCAAGTATCGAAATGCACGCCATTGTGTCTGGATTCAATATTTTACATTAATTAGGCCTATGTCATCATTCCATTTCGATACTTGGAGTATACTACCGGTATCTTATCTGAGATTAATCCATGGACCTTTCGGTTAGTGTTGATATTTCCTATCAATATTAATATTATTATAGTTACAAGTCAAATAATTGTAATTATTCTGTTAATAATCAATTTTGAAACAGACTGAACCACTTCACAAAACCCTTCAACAGTGCAAGCTAGGGTATAAGTGTGGCCGACCGAGAATGAGTGGTTCAAACCCCTGACCACAACACTCAGAACGTGAATAAAAACTGCATGCATGTAGCGGCATATATCAATTTCACTAAAATGGTTAATTTAGGTAAATTTTGTATGGGGGAACGCAAATGAAAGCAGATCTTCAAATCAGTTAGAAGTAGACCTACAATCCATTCCTTTCTCATTTACGAAATCGGCTTACCTTGCAGCAAGGTATAGCTAAACTTGCCCTAGTCTAAAACCTAAATTGTGTCTTAACCTACTAACAACAGTGGCAGCACCATGGGGAAGGGGGGGGGTGTGATGGGGATGGTTAATCCCCGTCGGGCAGATCAAGTTCCCGTCGGACACGAATTGGCCAGAACAAAAATTATTTTCTTACGTTTTAAATCGTCTCGGAATGCTATAAATGTGCAAAAGTTAACAGGCAACACAGACCCTGTCTCTTATACACATCTAGATGTGTATAAGAGACAGCATCTACGTAATGAATTCACCTGATTTTCCTAGATAAGGCAATCTAACCTAAATCTCAAGCTATCATCACTAAAGCCTATGATACATTTAGGTTCATTTAATTTCTTAAGTACATTATTAACAACATTTAAAGGGTACCCATTCCAAGACATAAGCTTCAGTTACTAAGCTGTGCTTGTTATCAGGAGTACACAATGCTGTCTCTTATACACATCTTACCTATCTACACTGTATAACAGGAGGTACTAGCTGTTGTTGTTGTAGATAATATACTAACATTTAATAACATCCAAGAAG